TTATTTATTATATTTTCTGACCCATATATTATGTTCAATTTATTTTATAAAAGTGAACCAGCAGCATCAAAGCAGATTTACCCTTTAGGTTAGAGATACATAACAACAAAGAGTGAAGAAAAAAAAGCACCTTTTTTCACTGCTGCTATAATAATTAATTTTTGACATTGTTTTGATCCACCCCAGATCTTTGTCAAATCAAAACGTTTTCATTATACAGAACACTTTCATAAAAACTGTTAATGGGTTAACAAGCAACAGACGGAGCAATATGTTAATCTAAATTAAACAATCAAAACAGAGAATTTGTCACAAAACACAATTTCATATCACACATGAAAATAATAACAATTTGTACACATGTAAACAAAATCTGGTCTTCAGTTCATTAATCCATGCTATTCCAGTCCAACACCTGCTGACAATTTAATGTCACCTAAGAACAATATTCATAATGTTTATTTTTCACTTTTCATCCAACCTTTATTTATACAGGTTAATCCCATTGAGCCTCGGGGACTCATTTACAAGATGGACCTGATTTTAAACAAAGAGTGATGAAAACAGGGGACAACAAAGACAACAATAGACAATCATAAATGATTAATTTAAAAAAAATGTTTTTTAATTATTCTTGGAAGAATCTGGAGCAGAAAGCCCTTGACACATGAAAGGTGGCATTATTTGTCATATAGGAAGCATAACTTTAGAGATATCTGAAATGCTTATTGCGGAGAGGAAGAAAGCCATTTTGCAGAAAGCAGACTAAAAATGTGCCGGAGTTAAATATCCAGTGTAGACATTACACCTTAAAACAAACTCTGTACAGCAGAGAGAGCACATCCTTTAACACTTGAGGTAATTGTTTTATGTATTTTTCCATCTGGAGACGAAAACGTAGCTCGAGTCAATGCTAAACTTTTTAAAGACTTTTAATACATTCTTAACGTATTATTATTGTTGTTTTTATAATTATTATTGGGGGAGTGGTGGTGCAGAGGTTAGAGAAGGTGATCGGAAGGTTGCTCGACTCCTCAGACTGACAACATCAAAAATGTGGGTGGTAAAGGTGAAACACCCACATCTGCCTCCTTCCTAATTTGCCCCACTCTGGGCCCTCGAGCAAGGCCCTGAACCCCCACCATCTGCTCCTCTGGGCGCCCCAGATTGCAGCTCTCTGCTCCACACAGAGGGCTGTGGTAGCTCGGTGGTCTGTGGGCATCCGGCGCTGTGGCAACCACTGAAAAAAGGGAGCAGCCGAAAGACAAAAAAAATCACTATTATTATTATCGCGTCGTATTGTTGCGATCGTAGCTCTACAGACTTTACACAATAACGCGTGCTTTGAATATATGCTACAACAGCCTGCCCTAACCACGCCTGCTGTCCTTGCTTCCGGTGGCTTTCGGCGCTCTGTTGCCTTTAATGAACATGTTTTCAGTAGTTGGGGGGGAATTAATTTCCTCTCTTGTTCAACCGCTCTTGCACCCGAGACGCGGAGGAGCGTGGATGCGCGCAGTGCGTGCGTCAGGCTGCAGCAGTCCTGTTGCTGTGCAGCGCTGCCAGCCCGTCAGCTGATCTCTGTTGTTCGCTTGTCGCAGCTGTTCGAGTGTCCGCCCCTGTAGCTCAGCGGATCTTTATGGGCTGGCAGCCCTTCGGTGACGTGAGGGTTATTGTATAAAAAATACTCAATGACTCCAAGGCCATGTGGGTAATAAAAAAGCTTCAAGATTTATGGGTTTATATAATGTAGGCCCTCTTTGTAAAAAAAAAAAAAAAAAAAGACATGTGAGAAGGAAATGCTAATTCAAATTATCTATATTTTTTTGCTGTAGTTCTAATTTTATCCCATTTTTATTCGTTTTCTGGCAAATGCATTTTGCGCAAAATAGTCCTTTGTTTACGCGCAGTCCTCCGGCTCTGCGGAAGGAGGCTTTTTTCTGTAGAGCGGTGTGTGACTCCTACCAGCTGTTTCCCGCCTTGAAAGCCATCCGATCAGCTGCACACACACACACACACACACACGCACGCACGCACACACACACACACACACACACACACACACACACACACACACACAC